CAAACAATAACTCACTGGATATATATCACATACTGGCTCGGGATAAAGTGTAGTGGAAAGAAAACTAAATTGAGAGGACCTTGGTTTAGATCCTCCATCTGCCAAATGCTTTATGACCACAGACAATTCATTTAACCTCTCTGGGTCTCAGTTTCTTCATCTTAAAATGAAGTTTTACCAGATCTAACATTCTATGAGCTCTGATATCTTGGCTAAGCCAGCTTCATTCATGCTGTGATTCATTCAACAAGCATCTATAAGTGACTTGTATGTGCCAGACCCTGTGCTAGGTTCTAGGAACAGAGATGCAAAGTTGACCATCTCTATCTCCTAAATAAGCAAATCTAAAAAATATCAGAACTAAGTTAAAAGTCATTTTTGGTAGGAAGAAGGGAACTCATAACTGAAGGGGAATGGAATCAAGAAAAACCTACTGTAAGAGGCAGCATTGGAGTTGAGCTTTGAATGAAGCTAAGGATCGTCTCAGGCAAAGGTGGAGAGTGAGTGCACTTCAGATATAGGGAGCATCCTGTGTTAAAGTGAAGAGAGAAGAGATGGCATGTTTGCATATGGGTAACAGCAAGTGGGCCAGGTTTGTCTAGATCACAGAATGCATGAAAAAGAGTAATGTAGAATAAATCTGGAGTCAGGATTGTGAAGGGCTTTAAATGCCAGGCAGAAGAGTTTGTTTCTGTCTCAGAGGTAATGGGGAACCACTACAGCATCTTGAATATATAAAGGCACGGTGGTGGTGGTGGTAGGTTTCCATCTCTACTGCAGTTGAGGTAAGCATAGAGTACCCAGACTTCTTGATGGTGTTAATCAATCAAAAATGCAAACTAGGTGAAGAAAAAAATCCTTCATCAGTCTGGGAGGAGTGAAGTGCTTCCATCATTGGATGAACACAGGTGATGCTGCACAGAGAATGTAATTTGCCATTTCCTTTTCCAGATGAGGAAACTGAGGCAAACAGGGTTAAGAGACTTGCCCAGGGTCACATAACCAGTAAATATCTGAGAATGGATTTGAACTCAAATCTTTCTGACTCCAGACCTGGCACTCTATTCATTGTGCCACTTAGCTGCCCCAAGAAGACATCTAGATACCCACAATGAATTCAAATGATTTGGCCCAAGTAAACCATATCTAGGGGTGTGCTGGTAAATGTTTAACAACCAGCTTTTGGAGGAAAGGGCAATCCATATCTATGCTGGACACTTTTAAAGTTTAACCTGCATTATTAATATTTTCTCCATCACTTTCTCAAACAGAGAAAATAAAAACAATTAATTCCTGATTTGTAATGTTTGCCCATTTCTGAGGTATAAATGCTTGCTCTGAAAATTTAGCAGTTTGACTCTCCTGAGAGCCATGATTCCCGATGAAGGTCCTGAGAAAACTGGTAAATGTGATCGCTAAGCCACTACTTCCAGTGATATTTTGGGGACTGGAAAAGAACAAAGGTCCTCAATTTCAAAAAAGAGAAGAAAACGAAGTCTGCAAACTGTAGGTAGTGAGACAGACTTCAAATCTTGGCCAGAGTTTAGTAGGAGTTATTAATGGAGTGGTTAGTGAATATCTAGAAAGGAAGAGGTGATAACAGGGATCTGGGATAGGCTTCTTCAAGAGCAGGTCATACCAGACTACACTGATTTACTTTTTAACAGGTTACAAGCTGGGGGTGGGGAGAGAGGTGACTTTGTTGGATTTTAGTAAAACTTTAAAAAAAATTCTGAAGTTGGGGCAGCTAGATGGCGTAGTGGATAGAGCACTGGCTCTGGAGTCAGGAGGTCCTGAATGAGTACAAATCCCGCCTCAGACATTTACTAGCTGTGTGATCCTAGGCAAGTCACTTAACCCCGATTGCCTTAAAGAAATTCTGAACTTAACAAAACCCAAGCATTTCCATATATAAAATACAAGACAACAAAAAGGATTGCATGTGAAACCATGACTATCTACTTCATATTGCTTCCTTTAAGAAAAAGTATATGATAAATTCAACCTGCTACTTTCAAAACTGTCCTTATCTGTGATTCTTTCTGAACTTCCTTCTATACTCCTCTGAGCCCCTTTTAAAATGTTTCAATGGCCTTTCTTTTTGTTTATAACTACTATACTATGTATCTCTGTATATCAATATGTAATTTCTCTCTTTATCTTTCATTTATACTATATGCTGCATATCCATATATGCTATATACACATATATCTTTCATTTATACTATATTATATATCATATATAATATATACATGTGTGTCTATATCTCTTTAATTTATATTATATGCTATGTATCAATATATACTATATACACATAGGTCTCTTTCATTTATGCTATATACTATGTATCCATATAGACTATGTGTGTGCATCTTTCATTTATAATATATGTCTTATATATGACTGGCTATTTACATGTTTTCTCCCCCATTAGAATGTAAACTGCTTCAGAGCTAGGGCTATTTTTTCTTTTATTTGCATTTTCTTAACTTAGCATAGTGGCTGGCACATAACTGACAGTTATTTCTCTGTTGTTTTTGTCTCACTGTTGAGTTTTGCTTTCATGTTACACCAATATTCAGACAAGTTTGATCAAAATACAGTTAAGTTGGTAGAATTGGGGAAACCCTAAATGTTGCCAATTTGTTTGCTAGTTACCAAGGCACTGGCTTCTAGCCCAGAGGAAGTGGGTAGTTGTGCCATGGTCCATGAAGCTCTATGAAATATAGTTGTTGAATTTAAAATTTCATTAGATAAAATCAGCACAGTTATTTAAAAGTTAAGTGTTATATATTTTTTAAAATCTCTTCTATTTTTTTCCAGACAAGCTTTTAAAGATACAGGATTCAGATTTGGAAGGATCGTCTACTGGAGGTCATCTCCTCCAACCTTTTCACTGTAAGGATGAAGGAACTAAGGTCTAGACAGAGGCAATAATGACTTTGCTGAAGGTCACCCAGCTAAGTGAGTAGTAGAGCCAGACCGTGGAGTTTTTGGAAGCTGTGATGCGCAGTTAGTCTTGAAAATGTGGAAAGCCAACTTGAGTCTTACGCTAAGAAAGAGAAAGTTACTGTCCTTGTGGCATTTAAGGAGATGATCCAGCTCAGCCATCTCCTCATTTTCCACCTGGCTTAAAATCCTCTGGCTTTTACCCTCATGTTCCAAGAACATCTTCATCAATTTAGCCCTGGCACTGACACCTCATAAGTACCCTCTGCCACCTGGGGACTCTCCCTCTCATTGGAGGGTGGAGAGAGCCTCCCAGAATCTCCATTTAAGGAAGATGTCCAGGCCAGCCACATCTTCATTTCCTACCCTGCTGCACTCTTCTGGCCTTGGCCATCATGCCCTGTGGCCAGGTACTTTCTCCTTCCTCACCCCTGTATTATTTTCTTTTGTGTGTTCTCTTCTCCCGTTAGATTGTAAGCTCCTTGAGGGCAGAGGCTGTTTTTATTCATTTATTTTTTTAGCATAGCATAGTGCCTGGCACATAGTAGATGCTTAATTGGTTGGTTGGTTAGTGGTTGTCCTTCATGCCCAAAGAGCACTAAAATGACCTCACCATGTTGGGGTCAAGGCACAGCGCATCTAACCATGGCTGAGCAAACCAATATGAGCTCTGAAGGCTCTGCCACAGGTTGGGCACAGATTGTCCTTATGAACATTTGAAGTGGAAATGTCTCTAAATTTGTGCATCTCACATTTCTTTTGAGCTACTGTAATTCTGCTTGGCTCATAGAGCACAGTGCCTTCTTTGTTGGGGGCACGCCATGCTGGCAGTCCTGTGCCAGTGTCTCCCATGTCTCACATGGGAGACTTACCATGATTGTTAAGTTCTTCAGAGAGACCTTGAGAGTGTCCTTGTATCGATTCTTCTGGCCTCCATGTGAGCACCTTCCTTGTGTGAGTTCTCCAAAAAATAGTCATTTAGGCAAATCTCTGCATGGCATCTGAATAACGTGGCTAGCCCGTCAGAGTTACTCTCTGCAGTAGAGTTTGAATGCTTGGCAGCTCAGCTCAAGAAAGGACCATGTATGGATAGTGTCACTCTGGATGGTGGAGAACCTCTGTTTTCTTGGTGTTGATTGTTAGGCCAAAATTAGCCCAGGCAGCAACGAATCAATCCCCACTGTGTTGCATCTCAGCCTCAGAGGTCACGTTGAGTTCGCAATCATCTGTGAACAAAAAGTCACACACCAACTCTCCCCCTACTCTAGTCTTGGCTTGCAACTTTTTTCAAGTTAAATAATTTAGCTTCACTGAAGTAGCTGGTTTTAATACCATTTTCATCTCATTGGAGGTGTCTGACAATATAGAAGAAAACACATGCTAAAAAGCATGGAAGCAAGCACATAGCCCTACTCCACTCCACTGGTGACTGGGAAAGTGTGAGAACATTACACCTTATCCAGAACTTGTGCAAGCATGCCCATCATGGGCATGTACACTACTGATGAACTTCTCCAGGCTACCAAATTTTGCCATGATCTTCCACAAGCCCTCATGACTGAAAACATCAAAGGCCTCAGTCAGATTGACAAACATTGTGTTTTGTGTATGTTTATTGCCTGACTTAGTCGCATTTGGAACCATCTAACTCCAAACCCAGTATTCTATTCCCCTGGTTTATTTTCCCATCTGAACATCCCTACTTTCCTGGATTTCCACTCACTGATTATAGTACCCTACCTATCTGTATGTAATAAGCTTATTTATTTGCTCTCTGGAAAAAAAAAGTTTCCTCCCAAATAGGTCAGTGCTTTTGTACATAGTAATTTTGTGTAATTATATTTCAGTGTATGCCTATGCATTTATTTTCTTTTCAAAGAGATCTCATTTTAGATCTGTATTTGGACCAAGGTACTTACAAAGATCTCTCCAGAAGCTTATGATTCTTGCCAGCCTTAGGGACTGGGGTAGGGGAGGGGCAGGAGGGAATGTGGGACAGTCAGCATTGTGACATCATCCATGTGAAAGCTCTCTCCTCAGGTCACTTGTGACTATGAAGTACTCAGCTTAGTAGGCTGAGCATTGCTGAGAAGGAGTGCCACAAAATGGCACTGGGGGCCAAGTGAGGCCTGTTTACATGGCCTTCATGAGGTCTCTTGGAAGCCACGTACAGGAAAAATTCTTAGGAAAGCTGCTCCTGGGCTCCTGGATGCAGCAGTTTCTCAATAGTCGCAGCTAAAGCAAGAGGACATCTTTACCCTTGATTCTGTACCGGAAAGAGGAGTTAACTCGTCATGTCAAAGGATATGAGTTGCTACTTAGAATCCCCTCCTGGTTGTGATAGTACAGGGTCTGGTGAGCATCTTTTGCCTGCTCTAGGCACCTCTGGGGCTACGTCAGGACAGGATGAAGATGAATTAGATGACTCCTTACTGGAACTCTCAGATGGAGAAGAGGATGACAGTCCCTTCAGCTACACTGAAGAAGAGATTCAGGAGCTTTTGAAGGATGATGATTCCCTGAACAATCAGTCTTCCCTGGGTGGAGGGCTAAAAAATACAGGTGGTCAAATGGAGAAACTGGGGAGAGATGGTTGTGTGTTGCTTGACTCTCCCCTAGACATCAATTCACCTTGTAGCTTAGAGCTTGGAGCTGGGCCAGCCAGCATCCTCCAGCTACCACAGGTAAGTACACCAGCTAGTCACAGCCTTACTCCCACCAAACTGTCTAGCAGACACTCTGCAAGAGAAAAGAATCTTTTGAAAGCAACCACTGTGGCACCATTTAAGTCAGTCATTTGGAATGGTGCACTTGGAAAGGATAAGATGAAGTCTTCCAAAGACGCCTGCAGGAATGCAGACCGCTTCGGAAGACCTTCCCACCTGGGGGAAGATGGGAGTAAGGATAGCACTAGTCATAATAATAGCAAACCTTTGACTGGGCATGAAGAAACCACCTCTGCTAGCTCTGTTTGGGAAGGACCTTTGTCTCCTTCCAAAGGTAGCCCTCAACAGATGGTCAATGGGACCAAAATGCCGTGTCGTGATGTGCCTACCCCTTTAATCTCTCTAACCTTGGAACAGACAGGTAGCCCCTCTGCTGGGAAATCATCTTTGGGGAGCAGGAGACATAAAATCGGTGGTGCAAATCAGTCCCCAGCTGCTTCTTCCTCATCAAGCAAACACATCATCCTAGACAAGAATTCTGGGAAGATGGTGGCGCATGACACCAGAAGAGTAAGCAAAATCACCCCACTCCTACCAACCAGAACAAGGAGTAAGTATCTGAGATTTTCACAAGCGGAACTAGAACCGAAGATGCAGATTGCACTCAAGAATGGGCTCACTCATATCCCAAAACCTAGGGCTCTGCACCACGGGTCCCTGGGTGAGTTGTATGCCTTGATGGACCAAGTCGGTAGTGTGGAATATCAAATCCGGAATCGCAGGTGGCAGCACCTTTCAGCCCTCACCATGTTCCAACAGAAGCCTCTACACAGGTACAGCCTGACCTAGCAGGTGGACAGGCCTCACAGAGCCATTGTGGGTCTCAGGGCCTCGGATCAGTTCTAGTCATCTCACCCCCTCGGCTATGAGGGGACTGCCCCTCTCCCCTTCAGTGCTCACAGGAGTTTTTGTTCCTTCCTTTCTGTCTCTGGTGCTTTATAGATTTTGAATTCTTTTATTTTAATAAGACATGTTTTTAAGACCTTAATCAACTTTGACTGTTTTTTCCCCCCCTTGTATCCTTTTGGGAGTGCCCAGTGTAGACTTAATCTGTTTTCTAAGAGGTCTGAAAGTTTCTTTAACACGATGGTGTGAGTTTTTTTTATGTAAACCTCATTTGAAATGGAAGGCAGGTGTCTCCCAGGGGCCAATGCCTGGCTTCAAGTAGAGTAACCCTTTTCCACAGAGAAGTCTACTTTCAGGGTCTAGAAAAGATATAGTAAATATTTTCTCTGATTGACCATAATTTCATAGGATTACAGCTATGGAGCTGAAAGGGACCTCAGAGGTCATCATATCCAACCCACTCATTTTATAGATGCTAAAACTGAAGCCCAGGGACATTAAATGGGGGAACATTACCCTGAGTTTTGAACTCAGGAATACCTATTAGTAGTTTACAAAATTACCAAACCAAGCCATTTGGTGTTGAATGGAAGAAGGCAAAAATACTATTGAAAGAAAGGATATAACAGAATATTTAAATTCCCTTGTCTTCTTTCCATTCCTCCTAGCTGCCGTTGTCTGATGACTTTTCATTTTTCGTTAGTTTCATTTAGGGGAGGAAAAAAGAGGAAAAAAAGAAAGCCTCGCCCCAAAGACTAAGTTTGCCACCTTGTCTGATACTCACTAGCTGTGTGATCTTGGACAGGTCACTCCATTTTTCTGAACTTCAGATTCCTCATTTATAATAATAAATCCATTTATTATTATAACTATTACTATTAAGTTTTGCAAAAATTTTACATGCTTAGTATCTCATTTGAGTCTCGCAACAATCATGTGAGGAGGGTAGTTTAGTTATTTTTTTTACTAGATTGTTATGACCCTATTTTTATATCACCTAGATCTCCCCCCTGTATCCCCTTTTATCTCCTAGTTGTCCTGTTCAAGAGCCATTGCTTATAGGAGAGAATTTTTAAAAGAGAGAGAGAGAAGTCAGCAAAACCAATCAATACACTGAAAAAATTGGACGTAATATGCAGTGTTTCACACCTGGCTCCCTCTCCCTCTGCAAAGGAAGAGTGTTGACTTCTCATCTCTCTCTTGGAGTCAAGATTATTTTTGTAATTTTGCCACATTCCTTTTTGATTATTTTATGGCAGTGATTCTTCCCATGAACATTTTTTACTGAGGTATTATTATCCTTATTTTACACATGAGGAAACCTGAGGTCAAAAGAAGTGTATCATATGGTTTCTAGTCCCACAGCTAGTTAAGTGTCAGAGGTAGGATCTAAACTCAGATCTTCTTGAGATCAGTCATTTCAGTCATGTTTGACTCTTCATGATTCCATTTGGGTCTTTCCTTGGCAAAAATACTGGAGTAGAAAGATATATTTCTTCTCTAGCTCATTTTACAGATGAGGAAACTGAGGCAAACAGGGTTAAGTGACTTGCCCAGGACCACACAGTAAGTATCTGAAGTCACTTTTGAACTCAGGAAGATGAGTCTTCCTGACTTTGGGCCCAGCTCTCTATCCACTGTGCCACCTAGTTGCCTTCACTCTACCCACTTGAGATGGCTGGAAGATAAAGGAAGTGGGTCAAGATCAGTGGTTCCCAGCCCTATTTTGTTACTCAGGAATCTCTTTTAACAACAACAAAAGATGTATTGTGAACCCCCAGGGTAATTTAATATGCTATTTGTAATATTCTGTAATTATTTACTGCTTCATGCATCATTGGAGAATTTTTAGCACAGCCCCCTTGTACCATGGAACTACATGGGAACCACTGGCCTAGATGGTTAAATAGCTCTAAATTCTTGCATCTCTGGGAAATCAGGAGTAAATGGCTGTGAAGACACCTACAAACTGTTTTGGGAACTAAGGGTATTAAAATGCTGCTCCCTTGCTGAAATCTCGAAGAGTGTTAAATGGACTAGTAAGAAATGCTGTTTCCCTGATCAAGGGAGACACTGTCCCCAATTTTTCCTTTCTCGATTCTTCTCTGGCCACAGAAGTCTTGGCTGCCCCACAGGGTGCCTGTCAGAGCTCTGGCTTTTAAGTTCTTTGGGAGACACAGAATCTTAGAAGCATAGAATATCAGCTGGAAGGGACCTCATTGACCATGTAGTCCGGCCCCCTTCATTTTAAATGATTTGGCAGTGAGGAGGTGATACTAATAATCATCTCTTTATCCTCCAGTGGCCCTGGGCCTGAAAGGAAATTGGCCCGACTGCCCCAGGCCTGGGCGGCAGTGCTCTGTTGGCTTAGAGCTGAGCTCTGCTTAACATGCATCTCACCATAAGTCCTATCTTGTAGGGTTTCCAATAAGTGTCTTGAGAGGAGCTGCTCTGTGTGAGCCACAGGCCATGGGGATGGTGATGAAACTTGGCCCTAAAAACCTAGGCTGGCCACAGAAGCTAAACCTTGGGGGATTTCCTGAGCTGGGGTGGGCCAGGATGGGTGGCTTCTCACTTTCTAGTCACTAATATTGCTCAATCAATTAAAAAATCACTGGAGCACGGTTCAGTGGATATCATGCTGGGCGTAGAGGCAAGGGAGACCCAAGTTCAAACCTGGTCTCTGACACTTACTAGCTGTGTGACCCTAGGCAAATCACTTAACCCTGTTTGTCTCAGTTTCCTCATCTGTAAAATGAGCTAGAAAAGGAAATGGCAAACCACTCCTGTATCTTTACCAAGAAAACTCCAAATGAGGTCATGAAGAATCAGACATGATTGAAACGAGTGAGCAGCAGCAACTCCACCATATCTTACAATTTAGAAAAATAAGTCACTTGTTCAAAATCACTCAGCTTTGTTAGTTTGAGCATTGGGTCTAGAGTCGGGAAGACCTGAGTTCAAATCCAGCCTCAGACATTTACTACTTGTGTGAACCTAGGCAAGTCACTTAAACCTCTGTCCACCTCAGTTTCTTCAACTGTAAAATGGGGATAAGAGTACATCCTTCCCACAAGGTGATTGTGAAAATCAAATGAAATAATATTTGACAAAGTGCTTAGCACAGTGCTTGGGGCATGTGTTTGATAAATTTCCTTCTTTCCTTTCCTTCCTTCTACCATTATTTTACAGTTAAGGAAACAAGTTCAGGAAAAATAAGAGACTTATCCGAAGTCCCTCAGCTTATTAGTGACACCATATGGTAAAATAGGAAGAATGCTGAATTTATAATCTGGAGCTAGGGGTTCAAATCTCAGCTTTGCCATTCTTTTCCAAGTTACTCCATCTTTTTGGCCATCATCAATAAAATGAGAGGTTAGACCAGATGACCCCTAAATCCCTGCCAGCTCTAAGTCTTTTTTAGCCTATAAAATAACAACCTCTGGGAGTCTCAGTTTCTTCATTAGTGAAATGAAAGTAATTGGAGTAGCTGGCCTCTAAGCTCTTTCCAAGTCCTAAACCTATAATTTATGAAATCACTTAACCTAGATGGGCCTCAGTTTCCTCATTAGTAAAATGAAGAAAATGGGACCATTTGGCCTGGAGGGTCTTTTTTCCAGTGTTAAGTCTACAGTTTTGTGAAATCATTTAACCTCTGGATTTCAATTTCCTTATCTGAAAAATAATGCTTAACCTCCAGGGTTTCTGCCACCTCTGACTCTTATGACCTCATGTGTCTTGTGTTCCCCTCCAGAGCTCTGTTTATGACACCAATGCTTTCTCATTCAAGTTTTTCTCTCATTTGTTTACCAAATCACTTTTTTTCCAGGCTGGGAGAGGAGGAGGGGACAAAGAAAAGTACAAGACTCTTTCCCTTTCCCCTTTAAGAGCTTAGAGTTTAGCTGGGGGGGTTTCGCCTGCAGAAAGCAATAAATTGGCCCCTTCTATGCCCTGATAAATGTGTTTTGCATCTTGTAGGCTTCCTTTGCCACAGAAATCTCAGCTGTCTCTCTTATCAGGCCCTTGCTGCTACTTTGGAGAGGGTCTGGCCCTCAGCTGATGCCAAAGCCAGTCTTCTCAGGTGGCCAGCCCTTGGGGAAGGGTATTTTTGTTAGGGAGCATATGTCTGTATCAGCATCTCCTGGGACTAGCAATTTCCCCACTCCAGGGGAAGCTGGAGGGATTGGCAGCATTGGAGTTGAGAAAAGAAGGAGGAGGAGTCAGGTCCAGATGGGGCAGGCAGAATCTTCCACTGGTCCAAAAAAGGGCAGGGTCAAGGGGGTCACAGTCATAGCTCCATTTGACTTGCATTCAAAGATCCTAGAGCTGAGATCCCAGAATTGGGAGGTAACTTAGGTTTATTTGTCCTGCCGCCTGCCTGGTAAGATGTTATGACTATCCCTATTATAAGTACTCCCACTGGTATAGTGTCTTCAGTTTTGCAGAGTGCTTCATAAACAACATTCCTTGTCGAGTTGGTGATACTATTACCCCCATTTTAGAGATGAGGAAAATGAGGATCAGAGAGTTAAGTCACTTACTGAGGGTTACACAGCTAAGAAGAATCTGAGGAAAGATTTGAATTCAGGTCTTCCTGACTCCAAGTTCAGCACTCTTATCATTTCTTGATTTATAGATGAGGTCAGTGAGGCCTCAGGTTAAATGACTTGTCCAAGGTCATAGGGTTAGTGGAAGGAATGGGAACTAGACCTCAGCTTCCCTGCGTGCTCCTTCAGTGCTTCTGCCATATTACGTTCCTGAAACTACACCCTTATCTCTGCTTCAGGTTAGATAATCTCCAACCTTCTAAAGAAAAAAAAATACTCTTGGATTTGTTTCTTAGCCACAGTAGATGTATGTCTGAAGGAAATAACCCAGCCCAGGAAGAGGTATTTCTTAAGTAACCCTTGTAATGCTTAGGTGATCAGCTATGCTAACAAAGACCACATGAAAATAGAAATAAACATAATCTGGAGTCAGGGAAGAATAATAGGAGGTGAGATCCCTATGGCAGAGAGGACCTTGGCTGGGGGATGGGAGGATGGGAGTGGGGCAGCTAAGAGGGCAGTGGCTGGAGGCAATGGTTTCCTTAGCTAAACAGGCCT